TTGTCTCCTGCCTGTTTACTTCACATTTTGATGCAACAACAGTATGATTACTTGTTCATATTTTATGTAAACCATTTATGTTTGTGTTTTTCATTGCAGAACTCAAACCAACTTTGGAGTTGTCTGATTTGGAGAGTCATCATTCTTGGTCTTCCTTTCTTAAAGGAATAGTTCGCACAAAAAAAATAATTTACTTGCCCTCATGTCATTCCAAAGCTATAAGACTTTTGTCTATCTTTAGAACACAAATGAAGATATTTTTAATTTTCTCTCATAATTTTTTGTTAATCCATTGAAAGTCTAGATAATCATTATTTTCAAGCTTCAAAAATACAGAGTTATTGTAGAAGTAATCCATTCCAACATTTATATATGAATAAATCTTCAATTATATCATAGCGAACATGTCTGTTCAGAAGAAAATGTTGGTCTCCCAGACTTGCAATGGAGGACAAAAATTAAGAGAATATTAAATATATTTATTTGTGTTCCAAAAATTAGCAGAGTTTGTATGGGTTTGGAACAACACGGGGCAGAATAAATGGAACAACATGGGGGAGAATAAATTATGACCATTTTAATTTTTTGGTGAACTAAACCTTTAAAGAGCAGCCCTCCAAGTACATGAAAATGTGTGAGGTATGTGAATGTCATGTCTGTTTTAATGTTTCAGTAAAGAAGTAGCTTTCTGAAAGCAATATATTTATTTAAACAATATTACATGCACTCACACTAGTGCTGCCATTGTAGCATTTTAGAGTGCTGTGGTAGACAGAGACATTAAACAACCACACAAAGTGGTTGAAATTCTAAATCAGACCATTTACCTATCCTTACAGATGTGGATGCACCTCTATCTGAAAATGGATAGATTTTAATTAAATGTTTTCTTTTTTCAAATGTTTTTCTTTGTAGGCCACTGATGAAGAACAGGCGGTGACTGGGATGAATGCTGGTCAAAGAGGAGAATATTTTCACACATATGTTTCTGATAAATTTTATAATATAAGTGTTAATGTTGTGGTTTATTTACTGTCATGCCAGAATAGTTTGTAAAGAACTTAACTATTAACTAATTGTGCAATTATTGTATAATAGTGTTTTTGTATAATATTTTTATACAATGTATAAAATTTGCCAAAAAAAAGTCAAATTTGATCTTAAAAGTTATATTCAACAAATGTTTAATTTTTCATTTATAAACTCTGTAGATGTTAATGCCATACTTTTCCGCATTTGTTCTTATATGCATGTTACTTTTGACTGTTTTATCTTCTTGTTTTTAATAAATATTTACCTTTTGATAGTTATTCTGTGTGTGTAAAGATTTGTAGGTTTAATGTCTAGCTCGATTTGGGTTAATTTTAGCCTAGCAATGTAGTAATTTTAAACCATAAAAAAGCAACCCAGCGTGCTGGGTCAAACATATAACCCAACTTGTTGGGTCAAAATAACCCAGCGCTGGGTTTGTCCCTTTTTGACCCAGCGCTGGGTAGCAAAAATAACCCAAATTGGGTTGTTTTTAACCCAGCAGTTTTTAGAGTGTAATGTCGTCACGACATAACTCGTAGTGACTGACAGATAGGGAACTCATTTAATGCACCCTGCCTTGGCCCAGACCTGTACATCATCTTACATTTCATGCAGTTGCTGACAAACAAACATGATGACGACTAACTCCATGATGTAGCCTATTAGAATGCAAGACATAATGGCAAAAAATTCCCCTTATGAGTTTTTGTCTTGTATTTCATATCATAGGATAAAGTTTAGAAATATCACACAAGCAAGAGTGCTGTTTTTACTATAGCCCGACGATATGGATTTTTGGGGGCCGATACTGATTAGGGAGTAAAAAAAGGCGATAGATAATCGATATATCAGCCGATATTCTTTGTGTATATTATAGTACAGTACCAGTCAAAAGTTTGGACACTTTCCCATTCGTGTGTCCAAACTTTTGACTGGTACTATATATAGAATACAGTACATACATAAACAGAATATATATATATGCATAAACACATTTTTTTGCAATGATCACTCAAATGTGTTGATGAAACACTTATAATGACGTGACAAAGATATGTAATGGAGGCAGGGCATTTAACAATAAACTTTATTATCCAAAATAAGTCTGACATCAGTGCACTGAACAGTAAAGTTGAAGTTTGTTCAACTTTATTTCAATTCAATTCCATTCAACGTTATTCCGTTGAAGTTTATTTTTACTTCGGAACATTCATTCACGGATTTGCGCTACTGTCTTCACACACAGATGAAACTTACTAGAGAAGTGTGAACTGTGACATATACCTCTGTAAATAAATAGAATTTCAATTCACATCTCACGCACTTTAATACCCTTTGAATGTAACGTGTATGTTCCTTTGGAACTGGAATCATGGTGGAATATCATGTGAAGTCCACTTCTCAGGGCACTTACGGTCGAATAAGACAACGCTTGAACGCTGCTGCCTGAACAAAAGACCTACTTATTGAAGTGAAAGTGTTGGCTGGTGTCACTATCTCGCGAACGTGTCAGCGGATCTCCACCAAATTCGGGGGATCCCTTCAGTTCCAGGACCCCTCTCAAACGCCACCCTCCGTGTCCAAATTTAACTGCCCGTAACTCCCGGACCCCGGGGGCAATCGACGCGGGGGTAGTCTCATTTGAAAGGGGGCCTCGAGATGTACACTCGATTCCACTTTCGAGAGGGTTTCTCAAACTGAAGGGATCACCCGAATTTGGTGTGGATCCGCCGCGCCGTTATGGAGATATGGCCGTTCAAAGTTTCAATGGTATTCCATACACTTAAGCTTTAAAGCGTTTCATCCAGGTCGCCAGTAGCAAACAATGGAGCGCGCTTTGCTGGACAAACTACATAATTACACCATTTACAAACATTTTATCTGTGTTTTATGTTCTGTAAAAAAAAATGTCATATCAGTGGCATATCGGCGGCATATTTGCCGATACCGATATATCTGCGACAGGCTCATATCGGCCGACAAAATCGGCAAAACGATATATCGGTCGGGCTGTAGTTTTTACCCAAATATCTGCACGACTGCAAATGTAATATTGTTTTTAGAAAACAGTTCACTAAACAAATTTATATTGTGTTTTAGACACAGTCTTGTCAGTATTATGTTTTTGCTCCTTTCCAAGCAACACACAGCTGTGTTTTGTTACGGAATGAATCCACGTTTTTGAACAAATCGAGTGAGCCAATGATTCAGTGACCCATTCTTTAAGACAGTCAATTGCTTTGTTCTTGAATGAATCAGCTGTTTGAACTAATTGGTTGAATGAATGACTGATGCTGCATTCCATTCTGACGGGCTCATACCTTCGAATGGTTTGCCCTTCAGAGTAAGAGCTTTGAAAGGAATGAAGGGTGTAGGGGACAAAAAAACTGTTCCATAGAACACATTTCTGCGTCATCTTGCAGAGCCAGTTAAAGAGGTGCCGTTGTCATACAATTAAACTTGCGCAAACAATCATGGAAGCCAAGTGTCCATAAGTTGTTCCCTTCAAAATCCTTCATTCCAAAGTGCCCTTTGAAGGTGCCAGTTTTACCAGAATTCTAAAGCACCCCTTTAGAACCCCCAACAAACCCATTCAGTATCTGAACCTGTTCCACATTTTGTTAGAAATTCCAGTAGGAAAGCTATACACATATTTGACATAATATACAAATATTGTATTGAGTATCTACTGGTGCTTTTCCACTGCATGGTACGGCTCGGCACGGCTCGGCTCAGTTTGCGTTTCCATTGCAGTTTAGTACCGCTTTAGAGTGGGCAGGATTATAGACATGTCGTTATAGTTGCACCACCTCTATTGCCGCGAACTCCTGAAAAACTTTTTCATTCCGTGTCATCCCATCAAGTTCTCGCTGGATCCGCTCCTCAGCTATCAACGAGAGGAATGTCTGCACTTCCTCAACAGACCATGAAACAGTCATTATTTTGTTGTTTAAAAAAAGGTGTGCTCATTTGAAATTGTTCAAAAAAAGTTGCATTCGATCCTCACTGACTGTCATGATTTAATCTAGCGGGTCTAGTGTCATGTGTCGCAAGTTCAGTGACGCAGGTAGTGATGATTCTCTCCATTAAATAAGTGATCAGCAGGGTTTACACGTCACATTTTGGTAACGGTACGGCTCGCTTGGAACCTCAGCCGAAGTGGTACTGAAAAAAGTACCAGGTAACAGGTACTGTACACAGTGGAAAACCCCCCAAAAGCGAGCCGTGCCGTGCTGTACCATGCATTGGAAAAGCCCCATATAAGAAAGGGACACCAACCTGATTACAAGAGCTGATGTCTACTCCGCCCTTCAAATACTCCAGAACATTGTCAATATTTCCTGCTCTTGCTGCTCGAAGGAAACTGGTGTTGCTGTCCGACTAGAAAAAATAGGAAAATTACATCATTAGTACAGGTTAACATATTTTTGTTTACATTTATTAATTTAGCAGATGCTTTTATTCAAAACAACTTACAAATTCGGAATACAACAAGTGATTCATCTTAAGGAGACAATAACACAAGTGCTTAGCAATACGTGCTTAGAAGTTTCAAATATCTTACAGGATGGTACAAGCCAAAACAGGGAGGGATATAAGATATAGTGAAAGCATTTTTTAATTCAGCAGGATACAGTTCCCTTTCAGTTGGTCACTTTCGATATCACGGCGGTGACCGACGAATTGGACTTCTAATTGGTTTACACTTGAATCTACTTCAAGTGTAAACTAAACAAGCCAATGCATATTGGCATGCGATGATTGCATCCATCTGCCGCTGATCACAGCGAGAGTATAAATAGGCAGCAGATGCACTGCATATTAGCTTTTTGCTTCGGAGCCGAGCAATATCATCAATATCCTGCCAAGCTTTGAGTGAACGGACAAGTTCAGCATGCTCTCTGGGAGCTTCTTGTGTTGGCAGAATGATGCTACACTCGTTTTTCCTGTGTCAAGTGGGTTGCACACATCAGGCTGCACTACCCCCTGTTTGTGTTGCAGGCAGCCATTTCCCCTGTGCGCTTCAGCATGCTAAAAGAGCCTTTTTTCCCTAAAACTGCATTCACGGGTGGGCACGTCTTTTTAAAGACGATGTTGCGTCTGTGCCAACTCAACGCTGCATCTTTGTAAAGACGACGTTGCGTCTTGGTATAGATGCCGTTTCACCCGTGTGTTTCTGGATGTGGTCGTTACCTGGCGGTGGGTGATGGTCACGATTGCTGCCTCACATGCCTGGGCATTAAGCACGCTGAGGTTGTGTTCGTGGATGAGTCATGTTCTCATTGGGGAAGATGACCATCTCGGAGTTTCGGGCCAGGTTCTATTACCTCAAAAGGGGTGGCGTTCCGGTGCCTCTGTCTCGATCTAGTTCTCTTCTTGGCAGAAGTCAAGGTAAGTGTTGGAACCAGGTAAGTGTTGCACCACACACTCAGACCCCGCTTCGGTCGGCCCACAAGCTGCCCCACTGCGGGTATGTTGGTGGTTCCGCTGGTCCCACTTGTATGGTATCTGGAACCCTGGCTAGTGCTGCCCAGCCCATCTTGCTGGCTCCTTCGGACCATCAGACTCGGCTGTGCTATTCAGTTCGTCAGTTCGCGCCAAGTTCAGGGGCATCCACTTCACATCAGTGAAGGCAGCCGATGCCCCTGTCTTGCGTGCGGAGATCGCAGTCCTGCTGGCGAAGGACGCGATAGAGCCGGTCCCTCCAGCCGATATGAAGACGGGGTTTTACAGCCCCTACTTCATTGTACCCAAGAAAGGCAGTGGATTATGACCGATCTTGGACCTGCGTGTCTTGAACCGGTTACAGGCTACATTTCAAGATTTTAATGCAGAAACGCATCTTTGGGTGCATCCATCCCCGAGATTGGTTTGCAGCGATTAACCTAAAGGAAGCATACTTTCATGTCTCAATCCTTCCGTGCCACAGACCCTTTCTGCGGTTCACGTTCGAAGGACGAGCATATCGGTACAAGGTCACACCGGCCTGCCGCCAAACCTTCACCCCATTGTCAGACCTCGCGTTTCTTCGAGCAGGAGTGCCCCTAAAACAGGTCTCGTGGCATGCTGTGGTACACACAGATGCCTCCACCACCGGCTGGGGTGCCACATACAATGGGCAAGCAGTCTCGGGGGTGTGGATGGGCCCCCAACTGCACTGGCATATCAATTGCCTAGAGTTGTTAGCAGTGCGCCTTGCCTTGAACCGTCTCAAAGGATGCTTACAAGGCAGGCACGTACTGGTCCGTATGGACAACACTGCGACCGTTGCGTACATCAACCGACAAGGTGGTCTGCACTCCCGTCATATGTCATAACTCGCCCGTCACCTCCTCCTTTGGAGTCAGAAACATCTAGATCGCTTCGTGCCATTCACATTCCGGGTCTGCTCAACCGTGCGGCCACGGTCATGATCTGCACTCCCTGGAGAATGGAGACTCCATCCCCAGACGGTCCAGCTGATTTGGAGACGTTTCAGGTAGACCGGTTTGCCTATCCAGAAACCTCTCACTACCAGCTGTTCTACTCCCTGACCGAGGGAACACTTGGCATGGACGCACTGGCACACAGCTGGCCTCGGGGCCTACGCAAATATACATTTCCCCCAGTGAGCCTTCTTGCACAGACACTGTGCAAAGTCAGGGAGGACGAGGAGCAGGTCGTGCTTGTGGCGCCCTGCTGGCCCACTCGGACCTGGTTCCCGGAACTGATGCTCCTCGTGACAGCCCCTCCGTGGCGGATTCCTCTGAGGAAGGATCTACTGACTCAAAGACGGGGCACCCTGTGGCATCCGCGTCCAGACCTCTGGAAACTTCATGTCTGGTCCCTGGACGGGACACGGAGATTCTAGGTGACCTACGCCAAGAGGTAGTGGCCACCATCACTTCAGCGCGAGCACCGTCTACGAGACACGCTTATGCCTTGAAGTGCAACCTGTTCATCGAGTGGTGTTCCTCTCATCGAGAGGACCCCCTAAGATTTCTGATTAGAGTCGTGCTCTCCTTCTTGCAGCAAGGGTTGGAGCGTAGGCTGTCTCCCTCCACCCTTAAAGTTTACATCACTGCTATTTCTGCTAACCACGACCCCGTGGAGGGGAGAACGGTGGGGAAGCAAGACCTGGTCATCAGGTTCCTTAGTGGGGCGAGAAGGTTGAACCCTCGTCGACCTCCCTCTATACCTTCTTGGGACCTGTTTCTGGTGCTCGAAGCACTACAGTGGGTCCAATTTGAGCCTTTGCAGTCAGTCGAGCTAAAGTTTCTTTCAATGAAGACTGGTTACATTGGCCTCCATCAAGAGGGTAGGGGACCTACACGCATTTGCTGTCAACAAATCGTGCCTAGAGTTTGGTCTGGCTGACTCCCAGGTAACCCTGAGGCCCCGGCCCCGGCTATGTGCTCAAGGTTCCTACTACTGCTGCCCCCGGAGGAGGCAGACCCAGCCCTAGCTTTGCTTTGTCCCGTTGCGCTTTAAGATGGTACGTGGACCGGACGCAAAGCTTCAGGACCTCAGAACAGCTCTTTGTTTGTTACGGAGGCCAGCAGAAGGGGAATGCCGTCTCCAAGCAGAGGATGGCCCACTGGATAGTGGATGCCATCACCCTGGCTTATCAAGCACAGGGTGTGCCCTGCCTGCTCAGGTTGTGAGCTCACTCTACTAGAAGTGTTGCTTCCTCCTGGGCGCTGGCTCGTGGTGCCTCGCTGACAAGCATTTGTAGAGCTGCAGGCTGGGCGACCCCCAACACGTCCACTAGGTTCTATATCCTCCTGTGTTCTCACCTCAAACGGGTAGAAGCACCGAGAGGTCTCGGTTTAGTGTCAGCTTGCTAAAACCGCTCCAGAGAATCTGTACTGTAGACCCTGTCGAGCTCCTCCATCCCCTCGGCAGCCAGACGTGGCAGAACATCCGGCGCCAGGCCCTCACTCAATGAATCCTTGAGAACCAGTAGATGGCTGGGTTCCATATGTAGAGCTCTAAGCGGATCCCATATGTGTAAAGTCCATGGTATAGCCTCAGAGCCCGTGTTTCCCCGGCAGACTTTCTGCCATTTCCCAATAGAGTTGTAATTAGTGCTGTGTTCAAAATATCGATACGACGATGTATCGTCACAGAGATTTGACGATACGAGTATCGGTACAGCTGGCCCTCTATCGATATTGTGGCACGTGTGCAGCAGTGGACCACGCTTAATTTGTTTACAATTTTACAACGTTTAAAATGGAGTGTATCGTGATACGTATCGTATTGTGGCCTCTGTATCGTGATACATATTGTATCGTGACTTTGCTGGTGATACACAGCCCTAGTTGTAATCACCTCTAAATCTTCCATATTCACCTAAAGGGTTTCCATATGTGTAGGTGCTTCCGAAATCTCCTTCGAGAAGGATGGGCCTTCCGCAATGTTTCTGTTCCAAGTGGAACGGGTACGTTTTCCCAGTGTTATCCAATCTCACTGAGTGGGTAGTGCT